CCCCCCCCCCCCCCCCCTCTCCCACGACCCCTTCCTCAATGGTTTTCCTCATGTTGTCCCTCCTCAATATCTCAGCTTGGTACAGTTGTACGCACGCGCTACTACATTTCCTTGTATACCATCGCTTCATACTTCAACGCCCAGGTATCCCCCATCTATATCTCACCTTGGTTCGGTTGGGTGCACTACTATTTATAATGTACGCTCGCTTCGATTTTCAACTCATCCCCCAACTATATTTCAGCTTGGTACAGTTGTATTCAAAACTTCATGTACAACCTCTTCAATTGTCACTGTCCACACATCCCCCAAAACTTGCGGTGGTTAACACTACAGGCTCACCTCGAGAATCTTGCAGAGGATCTGGGTGTAGACCTGGCCGTACGCCTTCCTCGCGAAGTCGTCTTCGAGCACGCTTACGACGTGCGAAAGCAAGGTCTCCGTCACCGCCCCTAGTTGCCCTGGCTTCTCGCCTAGCCACAAAGTCAACAAACAACGCATTAACAAAAAACGCAAGGCTCAATACATGCTTAGGAAGAAAATCATGTCGGTCTGAAGGAAGTAGGCGGCCGGAAGCAGAAGAAAAACCAGAAACAACAGCAACAGCACATTGTTCGCATCGAAATTCGGCCCCGCTCTGCCGGTGGATGCTACCAAACACGATCCCCCCATTTCGTTGAAAAAGAAACAAGCTTGCGTCAACATTCTTCCGAAATACATGTACAAAACTTACTGCTTCTCCTCTTTCAGAAGAGACGTGCACACCAACACCGAACAAGGCGACAAAAAAAAAAATGATGAGCTGGCTGGTGGCTTGGCTCACCTGCTAGTCGGACGAGCTTCCACAAACAGTCCGCCTCGTCATTTCTAGGGTCCCGCCCTTTCTTCTCCGCCGCGGTCACCTGCCACACCAACGTCGTCGCATCGACACACACACAAACTCACACACTTTTACAGAAACACCTTGTGATTTCAACCGCACTAACGCTGACGTCTTTTCATTGGTCAGCCGATTAGCGCTGTCGACGCTAACAACAAAAAAGCACACACACGCAGCGTACACATTGCTGTTCTAGTTAAGAGGCAAGCATGTTGTGTCTTTTTTTCTCCCCCAAGTCGGTGTTTGCCATCGGGGTTGGGTTTTCGTCGCCTGGCAACGACGTTGTAAAACAAGCCGCCCCCCCCGGTGTTTGCCATCGGGATTGGGTTTTCGTCGCTTGGCAACGACGTTGTAAAACA